AAGTATGGAGGGGCAATTTAAAAATTGGGAACAGGAACTTCATATGGTGGTTCTACAGACCATATGAATGAATGAATGAAGACTCTGGAAAGGTCTTGATAAACGTAGAGAATGCAGATGCGGAACCAAAGGGAGAGGTCTTACATTTGTAGGTTCTATTTTTAGTTAACAGGGCTGCACGCAAGACTGGGAAGAGAGCAAAGTATGAAGGTATCCTGTCTTTAAGCAGGTCTCTTCAGAGGAAGCTGAATTGTGGAGCAGGCTTCATGATGCCACCTACTTTGAAACCAGTGCCAAGACAGCTGCCAATGTTCAGGTGGTGTTTGAGTGGGCCATACGAGCTGTACTGAAGAATGTAAGGAATGCATTCCCCCCACTTTCAATTTTAAAAGCCTTAAAGCATGGCTATTCCTTTTTACAACTCCAGGATACCCCAAAAGTGTGCCATCAAAATATGCTGGCAAATTTAATAAGTGACACAGCTTTGTCATTTTTAAAAAAGGCAATAAGAATGTATTAAGCCTCCAGTAAGGATAACATACTCATTCTACTTTTAACTCTCCAAACCTCAAGGAAGAAAAGAAAGAGAAGGAAAGCTTCCATCCCTCTAGGCTGAAAAAAATATTAAATAAGATGCTACCTCCAGCTGCAACAGGCGTCACCTGTGCTTTTAAGACTACACCCTTTGTGATAGGAAGCAATTCCTACATTAGGGCAGTGCTTCCCAGGAAGTTGCTCCATGTGAGACCCCTTTTCTCACTAGCACTGATCACCTTCTCTTGTTTCATTTCAGCGCAGGGTACCTGAAGAGCCACAACTCAACTCTGTTCACCTAGAAACCAGGCCACCGGAAGGGATACACCGGGAAAGGTGTGGCTGCTGATGAGCCCAAATGCAGATGGGAAGATTTTTTTTTTTTCACTGCAGATCTTTGTCATGATGCAATGAGCAAGAAGAGGAAGTTACCCCACAGTACAGTAACAAGGATTCTGCTAACCCTGCAGCATGTCACTTTGGTAGCTGGACCCCATGATAAGATCTGCGGCCTTCTGGAAGAGGCAGCCTCAGAATTGAGGGACCCAGATTGGAAGTTGGATAGTTCTTATCCAAACACATGGAAATAAAACTCAATCCGATACATTTCAATGACAGAAAGTAACCATTATCTAGTCCTTTCATAAGGAGAAAAGGCTATAGAAAAATTGGCCACAAACACTTTGAAGGGAGATGAGGGAAGGAGCTAGTTTTCCAAACACCAAGTCGTGTTTCAAAAAAAAAAAAAAAAGAAGTCTTTAATTGTTCAAAATAGCACAAAAACGACAGATACGCAGCACTAGGGGGGAGGGGGGTCAGGGTGGATAGCCAGGGTAAACTCCTATGAGGGCTGTTCCTGTCTCAGTGGAAAATAAATCAGGTCAAATATAGGAAGGACAGAAGGAATCTTAAGGACTGAACAGGAAAGTGGGACACAGCGAAATACACTATAATACAAAAGACCAGGGTACAGAGCAAGGGAGGGAGAGAGGTCTGCTCATGGGGTTATCTTCTGAGGGCTAGTTTGTCTACCAATCTCAACACAGCAAACAGTGTGTGGGTGTGGGGGCTTCTGTGTTTCACAGAGCCCCCCATCTCTACAGAGTAAGCCCTGTTGCCTTCCCCACCTCCCCTCTGTGGAATGTCCCAAGACAGCCAGTGGAGGAAAGAGGGGGGCACATATTTCTCTGGAGAGAAAAACCTATACTCCTATCCCAAATAGAGGAGTTGTATTTCAACCATCAAAAATGTTGTCCGGCAGCCTTGCTCTGACCCAATAGCCTGGTGGATCAGCTACATTCCCCCTCCCAAATCATTTTTTTTTCCTAAAAAAAGTTTTATACAAAACAATGGAGAGGAATGGCAAGACATCTGCCTATAGCATGCCACCTTGTGGCCTGGAGGCAGGAAGAGCAGAGAGAAAACAAACCCAGCTTGTGCTGCTAAGGAGAGGCTGTTTCATGTACAAGGAAAAAAAAGAAGGGGTGGATTCAAGCCACAAACACCCTGCGCTGAGCATTAGAACAGCTGCTGTAGCATGAGCCCCTTCCCACCAATGTTCAAAGTAGCTGCATCTGTGGCCAACCATGTCACATCTCCTCAATCCCCACTAGCAGGGACTTCTCTCCATTACCAAACGCAGACACTAAAAACTAAACTGAGGAAGAGGGTCTGTACAGAGGCAAGAACTGGAGGCAGGGAGATCAAGTCTCCCACCCCCAACACACAGGATTCAGGGGAATACAAAAGAACTTCATTCCTGTAACTGCAACTTGTAAAAAAACCCAACAGCCCCCCTCCCCCCATAACAAGTTTCCCCTCAAGCCCACCCCAAACATCAATGTCCATGTCATTGGGGCAGTAAGCAGAGGGTGAGGGAGGAATTCCATTCCTTCTTCCCCCTTCCCAGGCTGGGGTATGGCACAGTGATGGCCCCTGCTTGGGGCTCTCTCACGTGAGCCTCAGCGTCTCTTCTCCCCACCCCCCCACCCCC